TCCAATTGTTCTGAAATTATTTCATTTTGCCGATTTTTTCTCTGTAAAAGTTTCCAATTTAGTCCCCTAAAGAGATTGGACTTTAAAATCCTTCTCTATCGGCGTGCACACAGGGACCCTTCGTGGCGGCCTTCGCGTCCAGCAACCTGGGCGACGTGTCCCCCAACACGCGCGGCCCGCGCTGCCAGTACTCGGGCCGGGACTGCGAGATGGGCTCCAGCACGTGCCCGGGCGGCGAGGTCTGCATCGCGGCCGGCCCCGGCCAGGACATGTTCGAGTCCACCAGGATCATCGCGGACCGGCTGAGCAGCAAGGCCTGGGTGAGCGCCAGCCGAGTCCACACTTCTTCCACCCTTGCGAAGGGGGGGGGGGATAGGAAAAACAGCTTGTTTTTTACGAAAGCCTTCTGGGGAGGGGGGGGGGTCAACAATCATGTGGTCCCAAAATGATCAGGAATGATCAGAAGTCCATAGAGACCTCATGATATTTGTACCCTGGGGTAAGAATATCATGGGGTCCTACTCGGGCTTCAAAAATATGGTCCTGATACTTTTGGGACACCATAATATTTGTACCCCCCCCCCCCCCTCCTTTACGCGTGTCGCAGGAGCTGTGGACGATGCCGAGGGCCCGCGAGCTCAAGGGTCCGCTCTTCGCCGTGCACCAGTACACCGAGATGCCCGGGCAGGAGGCCGACTTCTTCGACGTGCGGAGCAACTCGATGAGCAAGGTGCGCGCCTGCCTGCCCGCCATGGGCTACAGCTTCGCGGCGGGCACGACGGACGGCGCGGGCGCCTTCCAGTTCCAACAGGGGACGCGCTCCACCAACCCGCTGTGGAACTCGCTGCGTAACTTCATCATGGAGCCCAGCAAGGGGCAGGTGGCCTGTCACGGCGCCAAGCCCATCCTGCTCACCACCGGCGAGGTGAGTCACGTCCGACGTCGAGATAACGTCACTCGGTGAACGTCTCGCGAGGCACCGCTCTCTGGTAGCGCCTGCCACAGGCTGGGTAGGCCAACCCGCCGAGCAGCTGTGTGAAGACGGCGGCCCGCCCGGAGCGCCCGAGAGGCGGAGCGTCGGCCAAGATCACAGAGATGTATAGAGGGAGCTAAGAAACATATGTGTGAACTATGATAGGCAGGTGTGTGGCGGTGTTGTTCTCGTTCCAGATGAACTTCCCCTTCCAGTGGCAGCCCACCATCGTGTCGCACCAGCTGGCCGCCATCGGCGACCTGGCGCTGGCGTGCGTGCCCGGCGAGTTCACGACCATGGCCGGGCGCCGGCTGCGGGCCACGGTGCACGAGGCGCTGCAGGGCGGCGCGCAGGCCACCCGCGGTCCCGAGGACGTGGTCATCGTCGGGCTCTGCAACACCTACTCGGACTACATCACCACGCCCGAGGAGTACGAGGTGGGTTGGGCTGGGGATTTGAAAGTCCAATATTTTTCCCGGAAAACTAGCAACTTTTCCACAGAAAAATTTGGAAAAGATTAAACTTTTCAGGATTTTTTAAAAAATAGATTTTTTAAAAATCCTTAACTACTTTTTGGGAAGTTAAAATCCTTAGCTGGTTCTGGGGTTTGGTGCTTCCGGGTGGCGGCCGTGGCCGAGACCTTTGGCAGCGTTGCGCTAGACGCTCTGCCAGCTGCTTTGGTACCCTCCGCAGGTGCAGCGCTACGAGGGCGCCTCCACCATCTACGGCCCGCACACCCTCACCGTGCACCTCAAGATCTACCGGAGCCTGGCGGCGAGCGTGCTGGGCCGCGCGCTCCCGGACCCGGGCCCCACGCCGCCCGAGATGATGAACGACCTCATCAGCCTGCTGCCACCCGTGCTCTTCGACTCGGCCATGTGGGAGAAGAGCTTCGGCGAGGTGCTCGAGCAGCCCGAGGACGCCTACGGCCCCGGCGACATCGTGCACGTGTCGTTCGTGTCGGGGCACCTCCGGAACAACCCGCGCCGCGAGGACACCTTCCTGACGGTGGAGAGGAGGGAGCGAGAGGGTTGGAAGGTCGTCGCCACCGACGCCAACTGGGAGACCAAGTGAGTCCAAGCCGGTTTAGGTACGGGCTACAATAAAGTCACCCCACCAGGAAAAAAAAATACCCACGGATTGCATTGTTTTAACGGTATCCGCCTATTGACAACCTCCAGTTCATCATGTAACTTCCCTGTGTACTAAGGCCCTAACTTACGCCCCGCAGGCTCATCTGGAACCGCGTCTCCGCGATCCTGGGCACCTCGCGCGTGATCGTCCAGTGGACCGTCCCCATGGACGCGCCCGAGGGCGACTACCGCATCTCCCACTTCGGCCACTACAAGAAGCTCTTCTCCGACATCGTGCCGTACCACGGGACTTCCAGGGAGTTTAAGGTAAGCTCCTCGGCGGAGCAAATCACAAAACGCACCCCCCTCCCCCCCAAAAAAAAATTTATAACTTTTGCCATTACTTATTTATACATCCAGGTTACAAATGATTTGGACACCGGGGCAGCAGACGAGTTGTTTGGAAAATGAGTTGCTTAGTAACAATAAAGGAAACGTCACTGAAAAAATAAAAAGTTTTTTATTGAAAAAAATAAAATAATACAAATACCTCACTTCATCACATTTAATTGCTGACTCTATACACACATCGTTATGAAAGTATTCAAAACTGCCTGCATCACAGTAGGAGGCAGTTGGCACTAGATTAAAAAATAAATAGGCAAGAAATACAAACAAACAATATTAGTTGAGAAATTTCAATTCTTGTTAGTCCCTTATTCCTCATCAGAAAAATTGAATTGAAGAGGTTCCACAGTAGAAAGAAGTGGAGTGTCGACAGCATCACACCAAGCTTCAACAACATCCTCCGTGACTGAAATGACAAGAGAGGAAGTAATTTCAAATTAATAAATTTTTACCACGTGCAAAATTAGATTCACTATGACATTTAGATACATTACCAGGTTCAACACATGGATGGTCTGGATAACTATCTTTCTTTAAGTCCAATGCTAACAGTCCCTTTGACAGAAAATTCACATCAGCTGTTTTCAATCGCTCAGAAGGCGAACGCACCTCATAAAATGGATCTAAATACCATAGGAAAAAAATGTTAGTACCACTTAATACAGAAATTTAGAAAAAAATTGAAGGTAAGAAAGATGACAACCTTCATGTTTGCATTCTCCACAGGCATCCCAGTAGCCTCGGTTCTCCTTGTCATCACAAGCTATCGCAAAAGTTCCTCCTTGCTTCAATGTTACTTTTCCAGGTGTTTCCTTTACAAATTCTTTTGCCGATGGCTTACATGGGTTTTCCAATGGCACGGGTTGTCCTAACTTTCTGGAGGGTTCATTCAAATTCGATTTTTTGCCAAGGAGTGTGTTTTTTACATCACACAATGCAGTTTTCTTGGGGCGGGCTACACCTCCTAGAGAGGACACAATACAACAGGTTATGTTTATATTGAAACAAATTGCATGCAGTAGTTACTTAAATAAGGCATGTTGCTTTGAATGGTGAACACTTTTAATCTAAAGTAAAAGTAAAGTAAAGTTGTAACCATACCCTAAATGACACATACCTTTGCTCGCATGTCCCGATGCCAAACGGCTATCAGGGAAAATAGCGAACATGTTTTCTGCCATTATTCTGCACAGCACGAGAACGAGAGTGTTCAGTGCCCCTAAACCCGTCAATGAGTGGAAATGAAACAACGTGAACGTGAAAGAGAGAGTACCGGTTGTCCGTTAGAGTTGACGTTCTTTCAAAAGAAACCGGGCAATAGCAATATTATTTCACAACAAAAGTGTTGCTGCGAATAACAGAATAGGTTGTTGTGTTCACTTCCAACGCTATTCGCACCAATGTCCAATGTTGGGGATGTTGGGGTAATCCTTTCTTTGTTGTGTTGAAGTGTTGTAGTCATACTTTCCTTTTTTTTCTGAACCAAATTTCTTTTCCCGATTTTCAATAAGTACCCTTCAACACTTCTTCCAAATTATGCTACTGAGATTTTAACCATTAAGTGATTAAGTGAAAGAAGCAAACTTGGTATTGTGGGAGTTGTGCATTTTCTCATTATTACAATTTTATTGACTGAATGTTCTGCAATAAATTCTCAAAATCTATCAAATGTTGCAGATTTCTGAAAATGAGTGACAAAGAGAGTAAGGACAAGACATTGCCCTCTCCGGAGGCCAAGTCAACTGTAGATCAAAATGCTTCTGCAGTGCCCCCTCAAATAGCAAACTCAATACCGTAAGAATTAATGTCAACTGTTATTTAATTTCTTTACAAGATACTAGGTATTTGTTTTAACTCCAATTGCTTTACATTCAATGAACATGCAGAGTGACAATTAATCGATCATCACCATATGTTGGTGTTTCGGCTATTGCGTCATCTCCTCCTCAGTTTGTGACTATGGAAGAAATTATGTCTGCTGCGAATGGATTGAAAAATATGCAACTAGCTCATGAGATTGCTGTGGACAAAGATTTTAAATTGCAGCCATATGAACCTCCAGAAAACAGGTTTGTCTTTTGTATAATCAGTTTTTTAAAAGTCAACCATAACACAAGCTATACATTCTGTTCATATATTTTGACAATTTTCTTTTAGCCTTGAAAGAGTGGTTAAAGATGCAGTTCACAGAGCTTTTTGGGACTTGTTAGCAGAGGAGATTAGTGAAGATCCTCCTGTATACAAAGGGGCAATGATCCTTTTGGAGGAAGTCAAAGAAGTAAGTCCAATTTTACTTTAATTGTTAATTGGGAAATTCAATGAAAATTTACATATTTGAACAAAAATCTTATTTCTCTACAGATCCTGCTTGATTTGCTTTATCCTCAACATGAAAAACTGAAGCAAGAAATAAATGAAATGTTAGACATACCATTCATAAAGCAGCAGGCTGAAAATGATGCACTGGACTTCTTAGTAAGTGCATACTTCACAAATATAAATCAACAATAATTTGAGTTCTATTCACTTTTTAACAATTTTACTCTTGCCCTCATGTAGGGATATGCCCAGTTTGTTATAAATGTGATGGGAAGAATCTGTGCTCCAGCTCGGGATGAAAGAATTCAAGAACTGAGGGGAATCACTAATGTTGTTCAAGTTTTCAAAGGAGTATTTGAGGTGCATAAAAGTTAGTTACCTAAGAAATAAGTACCCTAGTTTTTAAGAGATTTTATATTACCCTTTGTTGACTTTTTAGACTCTTACTCTAATGAGGTTGGATCTTGCAAATTACAATATTCAATTAGTTCGATCTAATCTCATGGCTCAAAGTGTAGATTACGAGAAAGAAAAATTTGAAAAACTGCTCAGTCTTCAAGGAGGTTTAGGTACAGTATCAATTGTAGTTACCTTCTGGCACTTGATCTACTCTGATTTTCAAATAATAATTCTTCTTCCTCTTTTTTTTACACAGGTAGCTTAATTAATACCAGAAACTGGTTAAAATCAAGCATGCTAAAAGGAGGAGAAAGAGACATAGTACTCTCAGCATACTTAGAATTGTTTGAGTGGAATCATGGTATTGAATTGCCTGAGGTATGTCTTCTTTCACATTTCCAGTGTTTGATCTCAAGACATTTTACTTTTATATTCCCACTATCTTATATTTACAGACTGTTGTAATGGATGCTGTGAGAATACAAGAGCTCTGTTATCGCTTGCAAAGGTTGATTGTACAGGGCACTGTCCTGCTTGTGGCACTCTCCAAAGCTAATTATAAAGTTCTCCAGCAAAGCACTTCCTTTAAGGAAAATCTTATGAGTCATATTGGAGTTCTTCTTCAGGATGTTCGTGATGATGAGTAAGTACTGTTTTTCTGACTGATCTGGTGACTTATTTACCTTAACTTATAATTTTTTGACGACAGAATGCTTAAAAATGTCCTTCCTAATGTTGCTGAACAAATTGTAAGTGACATAAAACTTTTTATGAATTCCACAAAACATGTTCCTGAGCAACAGACATTTGATATGGACTCATCCTTTGAACAATCTTTAAAAGATCTTATTCAAGAAATTCACAGACCGGACCATAATGTTCGTCGGATAATCAGTATGTAAACCCTTCTTCTTGCTACATTCTGAATGTTTACAAAATGTATTGAAGTCCTATCAACGGTTTATCTTATGTTTCTCTTATTTTTCCTTTCTTAGAACAAAGAACTTCTGAATTCTTGCAAGCTGCATTTTCTACCTCCCCAAGTGCTCTTTCTCAACTGCCTCCTGGTATGACTACTGTGAAGTCCGAGTTTTTCTCAGTCATTGGCTCAATGATTCGTCTTTACCAGTATAACCTGGCAGTATACAGTGAATACTACAATCAAATTATTGCGAGTCTCAAGGAAGAAGGGTCATCTTCCACTTGAAACAGGAACAGCTCCAACATGCTACTACTTATTACACTACTTATTTCTGCAAACTGCAGTTTCAGAAATATATGAAATATTTAATACTTTGTTATACTCTTTGTTTTCACCTTTATGATTTATTTTTGTTATAAAATAACAGCTATCTTTTCTAGTCTTGCTCATTGTTGTCTACTGTTTTTTTGTTTTTTTCCTTTTGAATTCAATGATTTAACTAACTTTTCACATTGTACATTCATAAAACTGTGTGATAACTTATCGATAAGTGTGTAGTATTAATGTGTTAATATACTTTATATTGAAGTCACTTAACATTACAAATTGACTCTACTATCATTATTTATATACCTATACCATTTTCCTAATCCTTACTCTGTGCTCAGAGAAGAAATCGGTATAAATTATGTGAACTATCGAACAACTCTACATATCTACACACTAACAATGAAAACTAGCACTTCTCAATAATTACACAAACTACTCCATAAGAGAAACTTACCCCCCCTGATCCCTGATCCTTATGAACATATTATGGCCCTCATATCAGAAACTTACCTTTTGATTTGCAATTTAAAACAAGAAATTCGACAAGCCCCACCCGAACGATTATCTGAGATTAATTAGTAGCAGTTTGCTTTCTCAATCTGTTAAATTCACACATGGTACTTCATAAATCCACAGCCCAACCAAACAAGGGCCGAAACCCGAGCTTTTGAATTTGGCGCTGGGCTTTGGTAATGAACGAATTTCTCATATAATGCAACTTCCTTTTGTGTTTACATCTTTTGTTCTGTCAGCGACCCTGCGAACTGTCAAACCCAACTCAAAACACAACACAACCTTCATTCGCTACAAATGTCTACATTAATTTATTTATCTAATCCATGTTGGAAATTAACAATTAAAAATCAACTCTGAGGCCCGAAACTAAGTACACCATGAGCCGAATGAAGCCTACTCTAGTACATGGGTCTATTGTACCCGAAATAGACGATTCTTTTAGGTGTGTTTCTATTTCATGCTGTTTTCCCTTTCAGAAAAATGTGAAAGTGATTTAACAAAATTAATAATAAATGACCTACATATTTTTCTTTTCTAGTCCTGACGCAATTGACTTTGTTGGTTCCATTATAATGAGAGGATTATCATGTGCTTTTACATGGAATACTAAAATCAGAGTCTTTAATGACACTGATTTAGACGAACTTGTTGATCGCTTACCGCTGGCAGTTTCTACATGGCATAGGATAATTGATTTATGTCATATAGCTGTTTCTCATCATGTGAAGGGCAATTTTAATAGGAGCAAAGTATTTTCAACAGAATCTTACATACCGCTTTTAGAGATTCCAGGGATACAAAGTAATTGTACTCTAATAAACCAGCATAGGTATGTGTTATACCATCTGTGCTGTTTCTCTTTATTGATTATTGTTCTCATTCATCACGTTTTGGGGTTTTCAGACAGGCCCTGAAACATGTTCTTGATTCGACATCAGCATTCATTCAGCTATCAAGTTGTGATGACTATATGGCACGTCGAAACCTTTATGATTATGCCAAAACAATCCCGAGCTTTGATTCTATGGATAAAAAACAGCGTGCTGCTGTTCATGCTATTCGCTCCCAATTAACGGAGTATCCTGGTAAGTTTATAGAAATGTTAAAAATGTTGTCATATGCACCTTTTCATTTTAATGTCACTTCACAGACAATATGTTATGGGCAAGAGAAGCTGTAAAACTTGACCCAGAAGAGGGACAATGGCATTTTTATCTGGCTGAAATACTTTTTGAAGCTGACCAAAGAGGACAGTTTAATGGCAAAGCTAGAGATGAAGCATTTAAAGAGGTCATGAAACACAACTCTTTATCTCTCAAACTTCGTCAAGATACCCCACAGCCTTTTCTCCTCTTGGCAGAGATTCTTGTAGCTGGTGGTGATGCAGACAGCAGTGAAAAGTCTTATGTATTAGTGCAGTGAGTAAATATTTGTGTGCCCTGTTAAGAACTTACTTTGAATTTACATTAATTTAATAAACTTTTTCAATTTGCAGAAACGCATTAAAAAAATTCCCAAATAGTGCATATGTGCATGAGAGAGCTGCTGATATTCTTCAATCATCACAACCAACATTTTATTTTTTGCCAAAATCTTACCTCTTGATTGAGCCCTTCTACAAAAAGGCTCTTAAGCTAGCTGGAAAAGAATGTGCAACCCTAAGGCACAAGTTAGGTATACATCAAGTTTTGTTAGCTCAGTTGAGACTTGAGAATTTTGAAGGAATCCATGATGAAGGTATCAAAAACTTGGAACTTGCTGCATGTTCCATTCCTAACGCCAAAATACATCTTAACTTAGCTAAGAAGGGTTTGCTGGATTCAAGCGTTGTAGGTATTCCACAAATGCCAATGCCAATTTTATGTAGAGAAGAATCTTCGTCAGAATCTTCAGAAGCAGATTACACTGTTGTTTTAAGTACAAAGAAGAAGAACAAGAAGAGAAAAGGGAAGAGCAAAAGCAAAAAGAAGTAAATGGTCTAGCACATGTTTTTACTCTCACGACCAACTTGAATTTTCAAGTATTTAATAAAAAATTAAATTAAAAACTGAGGATGTGAAGAGGATGTGAATCTTTGTTGTTGTAATTTATTCCAAGTAAAATGAAATGATATCAAAAATGTTTGCTGTTGTCAAGTTATCCTAAACCAGGGTTGTGTGGTTCTGCATTGAAGTAAGTCAAGATATAATGGCTCAAACATCTTTATTTGAATAATAAATATTGAGTTGCTCATAACCGGCAGGGAACAGGTTTCTATTCAAATGAATATTACAAATTACAAATTAGTTACTCATTGCGCACCTCCGTGTAGGAATGAGAGAAAACACTTAACACATCAGTGAAATACACACTTCAAGACAGCTTGTCTAAAGCCATTCTGATGTCATTAGCTGATGACCGACCACATAACAAAAATCAACAAATTTTGATGTTAGAATATAAAAACAAAATTTGTGACTTGCTCCCTAATTAATGTGTGATCTTCGAACCATCAATGCTTTGTAACACAAGCACAGTCTTAGATATCCATCACATAGTTCAGAGGCTAAGTAACATTAAATCCTCAAGGTTAAATTTCAATTCTAAATTTACAACATTTCAAACACCCTTAACAATCACACAAAAATATGAAAGCGGCAATGACTAAGAACAAGATTTCAGTCTGTGACTGATTACCTAAAGAAAAATGCTAAAAATTAATGAAAAGGGAGATGAAAGTTTTTGACTACTTAAAAAGTAAAAGAAAAAAAAGGTGCAGCATTTTGATCCCATTTACATCCCATAGTGACACTACAAATCTGAATTCAAAATGGTTTCCATACAGTTTCATTTAATAAAGAGAAACACAAGGAATGAGAAGGGAATGAAAAGATTGGATATCATCTACAGCACCCTTTTCCCCCACAAAAATCATACAGGAATGTCTACAAAGTGTCGACAGCATGGATGCAGACTAATTCAAGTAGTATGGCGCAGTATTTTTACACAAAATTGTGTTCTGACCAATAAGAGAAGGGATCACGCTTCCCAACATTCCTCAGGAAATCGGAGAAAAATTGAACTTTTGAAAATACAGCACCAGCAAGATATAAAAGCTTTTAAAGCTAAATTTCAGAAACAAAACAAAACAAAAATGAGCAAAGCTTGGAAGATAGATACATAAACTGTAAAATCAACTCTGAAGAAAAGTATTGGCAGCTTCACAATAATACTTTTTCAGTACACAAATCGTTAACAATTACAGTGAACAATTAATGTGAGCAGTGTTAAGTGCAATAGTTTTACCTATGGGCAAGAAATTCGTAACTTGATTTTCAAATTTTTGAAAGTACTAAATCAGCAGTCTTATAATACATCAACCGAGAACTTTTTGTGAACAATGTTTGAATAGAACCTCACAAACTTTTATAAAAAGTAAAGTTGTATTTAAACTTTACTGAAGAAAGTTGGTTTCTCATCTTATTTTTGGTAAAACAGTGAATTTAAAACAAAATGAGATGCCAATGATAAGTTGGAAAAAACAACAACAACATTTTGCTCATAGCACAAAAACAATAAAACTTTAAATATGCAATGGTTATAAGTATGTTATGATAACCTTCCACTTCCATGAGGTGGAAGAGGTTGACTCACTGTGGCAAGACAAAAAAAAAAAATTGCCTGAACGATACACAAGGTCACATTGCGTACAATCTTAAAACTATAAATAAACATAAAACAACAGCTCATAGAGCAGAGCAGAGCTTTAATAAAATTTTAAGACTAGCTCTACAAATAGCCTTTACTTTAAACTCTACACATTTTAGCACCGGTGTGAGGATTATTTGTTTCGACTTGTCAAACATACATACTAACAACAATAAAAATTAAAAGTCTTGATTGCTTTAACATCTAATTTGCCATGTGGCTTCAAATGCATAACAGTTTCCCATTCCAGAAACAAAATAATACTCAATATTCAAAATATACAAATTAACTGCACACTCCAAAAAAACATTGACTAGAAGCCAGAGCAAGAATTGACTCATTACTTAGAACCGATAAAATAAAAAGCAGAAACCTTGCTGTTTCTCTGAAAATGGGTATTGCACAGACCCTCTCAAGTGGCCAGGATGTTGGGAAGACTGCGGACTGCGGCCGCTGGTGGAACACTGCGGAGTTACTGCCTGCATGCACAAACATATTAACTTATTGCTCTGGTAGGCAGACTTAAAAGAAATGGGCAGTACAAATGGGATTTGATTAAAACAAAAATAAAAATATGGATAAATGGTGCAAGCTACACAAGCATAGAAAATCAGGAAAAGGAAATGGAAGATTTACAGAAATACTTTAGATCGAAATTTATCATGCATTTCAATAGGAAAAATGTGGAAAGAATCCCTTTCTTGTAGTAACACGTGCAAATGAAAATGATCATTGAACTAATGTAGACTCCAAAGAATTGTCACTAATTATGACTCTCACATTAGGCCCCGATTGTTTTGACAATAAAAGACTGGCATGCTTTTCCCCCATTTCATACACAATGCCTTAACCCGGGAGAAAAAAAGAAGTTGGTCGCTTAGTATCTGTTAGTTGGAGATACTCTATTGGTTAGTTAAAGATACAAAGTTACTAAAAGGTGCCATTTAACTAAGTGTCATGAGATTCAAACTGCAACTGAAAATGGAAGTTCTGATCTGATTTTGGCAAGCAGAATCCTATTTTGTATCAAGATTTACAACATCCACAAGTAGTTCATTACACTTATTGAGCATTAAAAAACTTAAGTCTATTAACATTTACCTCCACTACTAGCATGTCCCTCAAAAAGAACCCAACACTATACGCCCCTCAAACTAAAAACAACATGACTTGTCAATCAAAATATGTAACACTGATTTGACATAAAAGCACAGAGGATAAAGATCTCCTTGTCGCTGTCCTCACTTAAGCCATAGTTTTTACAAAGATTTTGACATTACAATAGGAATTTTAAAGTCTTAAATACTTTCAATGAAATGTTCAGTCATTTTTAAAATAAGTTTATGGTGTCCAATCACCAAATGGTCCAGTAACAATGACAACACAATGTTTGTGAGAATTTTGGATTCTTCCTTGTCCCTCATATTAAAACCACTATAACCTGGACACACTTACAGTACATTTGGCGGGCATTACACAAATATCTGTGGAATTTGCAACAGTATTCTTAGAGCAATTTTTCAAGACTAAAACTAAATGTTTATGAAATTTATCTACTGTTAAAAATCAAAAATTACAAAAGAAAACTTTGTTGTATAGTACCTCACAAATACCTTTACATGCGAGTGTAATCCATCAAATGAACACTTAAGATAAGATTATTGGTAGACGCATTAAAAATGAGATCCCAATACCAAATAATAAAAAAAGAAAAGAAAAGAAAAGAAAAAAAAGAGATAGGTAAAATCAACTGACTACAATACCCTCGGCAGGCACTCATATTAGAATGCTTAGTAACCATAACAATTCATTCCTCAATTATTTACAAAGATGTGACACATTAACAACAAAAGCATGCATAACTTGAAAAATCAAAAGTTGACTAGATGAATGTCAATACTACAGGCCACACATTAAAGACAGATGTTGAAGACCAAATAACATTAATAGTTAAAATATACCTAGCTGCTATGGGTTAGTGCAAACATTAAGCTTTAAAAAGGCACATTTCACACTAAAATAATTGTTTCCATTGAACAGTTGTGTCTTAAGGGCACTGTTTTACTCTTTACTTGGGAAATGACCAACTTTATAGTACTATACCTGAAGATTAAAATTTAGCTCTACTTTCCTTGCAGAGTACCAAACAAGCAATACTGATTGCAAATATCAGTAAAAAGATCAAGAAAACTCTCCTAGCAATTATTCCATAAAAGCTCACTTTCAACCAAATTGCCTCATAAATATCACATTTTAAAATAACTCACTGTAAATGCAACAAATTAATGAACACTTAAGAGTAATCTGATTTAATAAGAGAAACGTCTAAATTCCAGCTCAAAGAAACTTTACGGCTCATCTTTAAAATTAGAGATTACCTACATGTATGTATTGCAATGAAATTGCTTTCCAAAATTTGCTCATATTGAATAAAATATAAAACTCACAGCCAGAACTTTATTAAGACTGAAAGAAGGGAAGTTATCACCAACTTGTCAGACAAAACTGAGGGGTGTTACATGAAAACGAGGAGGCACAAAACATAGGTAAGTGCAATAACGCCAAGGCAAAAAGTGAGTTCAAATCTAAACCCATAGGCAACAAAAGAGGGTAGATATTAAAACCAATGAGATAACAATAACAGGGATAGTCAACTAAAATCATAATTAGTTACAGGAGGAAATTTGATGTACACATCCAGCTCGGGCACACCAACACCACATTAACAACCCAATTGCCTTGTGTTATAATCAAGACAATTTCTAGTATGAAACCATTGAACTTAATGGAGCACTCACTATTTTCTAATAAATATAGTTTAAATAACTCTGAGCACAAGAACTCAGCAGCAATAACAAGAGACAATTAGATACCAAAATATAGTTTCTGATATGATTAGACACAACATTTAGTACTATTTACACAATTGCTAAGAACTACTGCAATGACAACTTTAGAGACATTGCATAAATAGATCAGAAATGTTAGAGTGACACTCTCAAACCTAATAAAAATGAGGACTAACAAACTGAAATGTACTGATGAAACTACTTCACTTTAAGGGCAAGAGCAGAGCTGACTATTGGCACACACTGGCACAGCATTCGGCGAGCGAAAATAAATGTGCTAGGATTCATTCTACAACAAATAGTACTTTCATTGATCACAAGACTGGCACATAATTAATTACATTTCCTTTGGTTCATGAGTACAAGAGCAACAAACAAGAACACATTTGACAAGTCAAGAAACAGTTGATGAAGTTCAACATCTAGTATGGTAGAGTTTTTAGTGGTACCTTAGCTGCTAGCTAACAATGTCTCACTCTTGAAAATGAAAAAATGAATTGGGAAAGGGGTGGGGTTGGGAGGGAACAGCCAACACCAATAGGCATGCAGGTAAGTTTTTGTTGTTTTTTGTTGTTTTTTTATGTCTTTACAATACGCATGCCGAAAACACCCCAAGCATACGTCAGCCAAGTTCAGCAGCATAACTTTCCACACCACTGCGGGCTGGCCCGGCCATAGACGAGTTGTAGATGGCAGCACGATAACTGTACCTGTTGGAAGGTGGTGAGCAAGGACTTTCTTCCTCTGTAATAGCCTCCGCGAAGCGACTATCATCCAGCAGCGGTTCGACCAATTCTGGATAATGCGACATACGTGACCGCAGCAAATAAGCATAGGTCTTGTATCGTTTCAACTGAAAACCAATACAATCAAGATTTCAAAATAAGCTCTTCATATTGAGAAAGATTCAAATTCAAGTCAGTCAATTGAAAACTTAAAGTTAGACAGAATACCTCATGCTGAAGGAAAATATCTCTTTCCTTGTGGCCATGAGCGTTCAGAGACTTATTACTGTTTCCATCTTTCTCCCCCTTCCGTAATTCTTCCAGCTCTGCCTCAATTCTCAATACACGTTCTTCATGATCTCTAAGTTGTTCCCTCTGAAAATTAATTTAGTAGATTCAAAAAATAAATATATGTGACAATACAAGAATTGAAAAAGTAAAAAAAAACAAAAAAAACAAAAAACGGAGGTATTTTGAAAGATCATACCAAGTTCAATTTTGTGTGGCTACAAGGAAGGAGAGGGCGCTGGAACTTCTTTTGCGATCCCACAGCACTTGCCAGTGGTTGAGATGAAAATGATGCACATACAAAGTTGATTGTATCTATCCATGACTGCAGTTCTTTGGAGTCACTGTAAATTTGAGCAAAAAAGCAGCTCATTACGGTGCAAAACTAAATAAAAAGAACAAATTGCTAAGTAGCAAATCTATGGCCTGATTCTATATACAAATTGACTGCACATGAAATAAGCCTTCATCAATAATTTAGTAATGGAAAGTACATACCTAGTCTGGAAAAGATACTCAGCCTGATCAGCTGTTTGGAGGCGAAAGACATGCTGTTTCTTGGTGTAGTCTGTGGCCTTGGTTGCAAGGGCATGGTGAATACGAATAGCATTGTGCAAATTGTCCGAGAGTTGATTCTTGCGAAAGCCATGCTCATCTTTGTGCAGGTAAAGAACCATGTCCCGGAGGGTGCAACAATACATGCGCCAACCTCGCTTGCCAAACGGGGCTGTTTCAATAAAAAAGGTTAATAAATTAGTGCTATGAGAAGTCATAGATGAATTATGTGCTTATTGGTTTAACTAGAGAAGCCTTTAAAAAGAATGTAACTGATCAATGTCATTCCATTGATCTGGAAAATCAGTGATTTAAAAACATACGGTAATCTCTGATTTAATCTTTCAAGGAAAAGAGTAATGTTCAGTTTGACATCATAAATGAAAAGAGAAAAAGAAATAAAAACGTACTTCGTTTGCCATTAGCATCAACACAGCACTTCCGCATGACATATCCTTTCTTGTATTCTATTGCTGAAGCAGCGTTTGGAACGTCAAGGAAGGGATTCATTCCAAGGTTACAGAAACTACCTAAGCCACCTTGAGTCCCTCTCTGGGGAACAGACTGTTGCTGCGCCTGTTGCTTGGCTTGAATGTCTCCAACACATTCATCTCCATCACCATCACTGAAAAAGTCCCAAAAATTAGGATACCAAACCACTAAAGAAATAGAGTACGTCAATTGATGGAGAGTTTGACTTACAGAGCCCACTCTAATGGATACATTTTGATGGCTTGATAGAGTAATTTCAAAACTTCTCTTGGGAAGTTGTCACCGTCATTTAGTTCTGCTAAATTATCTATGAATTCAACACATGACATTTTACGCCCAACATTTTGCGTATGAAGATCTGTATTCAATAACATTATTGCACAAGTTAAGGTGTGAACAGCATCTGTAAAGAAGAGAGGGTAGCTTAAGTAAAATTGTTGAAATATGAGAAACCAAGGGCACAATGGGAAATATTAAGACAAAGCATACCTTGAGAGTTGAAAGAGCCTGGATTACAATCTAAGTAACGTTTTGAAAAATGCACAAGTACCCGCTCTCTCTCCTGGGTTTCACCAGTCAAACTAAATTGCCTCAAAAATTTGCGCAAAGAAATATCTAAAGTTTCTCTACTGAAATCAAAATGTTTTAGATATTCATCTGCCACTGCTCTACTGAAGTCATTGCTGTAAATAAAAAGTTGCAGAATAAGCACAACACTCACACACATACAGGTAACCAGATAAATCTCACACTACTATAATTTTCAAATTAGCAAGCCTAAATAAGTAAACAAGAATGTAGTTCAGTTTCTATGTGTAACTGAGCTGTATATTATAGATGTTGAGGACTTACTTTTTACATAAATGCTTTGAGATATCAGACTTTTTGAACCCATCTAACATGTATAATCGTTTTGCAAGCCTTATTGCAGATGGCAAATCTACTCCTTTTGGACTATAGTGGTAACTATGGAGAGATTCAATGTCACTTTCGTCTTCAGACAGGGGAGGACTATCTTGATTTTCTCGGAGTTCCTGTAAGGTCATGGTTTGATCAGAAATTTTTCTCAAGTACTTTATGCATCGCACTCAATAAGGTGAAACAGAAACTAAGGAAAAACCTGATAGATTTGTGGTCGACCGCTTTTTCCCTTTTGAGGACTCCCAATACCATCTTTATCAGGACCTTTCACTTCAATTACAATGCGATGCTGCAACAGAGATTCAAACATTAATCAGAGCGAGTTGCAAGGGCATGCAGTTCATGTAGTACATACGAATAACATGCCAGCAGCAAACGGAAAGTACTTACCGATGACTCTGGATCACGAGGGATGCTTGCCATTAAAGTTGAATCACTGTCACTTGCATCACTGCCTTCCATCAGCAGGTCTCTTGCAGAAAGAATGTCCAGAGTCTCTTCCTCCTCGCACAAAAAAAAAAAGAAAACAAGTCTCAAGCTAACTATACTCAATTACTCACAAAGCACAAACCACTGAATCAAAAGAACCTAACTACAATGGTTTTACAATTCCATGTACTATCTTGCTTATGGTTCTAAAACAGAGCATCCAGAAGAAAACAGACGCATTGCAGAACTATTTGGAACCAGTTGAGGGGGGTCATAAAGCATTTATAAAAATATAAGGTCTATACATTCAAGATAAATACTGCTTTGGTCTAACAGCTCTCCATAAAGCTCACATGTACAGGCTGACTATTCTCATTGTCCTTCACTAGGTAGCTACATTCCCAACCGAAGCAAATTGGACATCTATAAATGGTTCTCCGAGGAAATACCAGGACCCTGAGGGGCCGTTGACAAATTAACCCACAGGTCGTAGAACGAATCGCGCGGATCCGAGCTCAGCAAATGGCGCGCGTAGCGATCCGGACTCCCCTACCGCCGTTGTCGCATTTGGACACAAATTCGCCACCTCCCCCTCCCCCCCCAAAAAAAAAAACAAAAAAAAAAACAGGGCCATAATTTGAAAACGGCCCTTAATAAAATCAGCTACAACCCGACGGCACTCAGCTTGTTGGCCAGCCCAACTTTAATTTTCACACAAAATTCCAAGGGTGAACCTGCCTGGTTAACCGGCCCGTCTTCTCATGCACAAACTCCAAATAAAATGTCAGAGCCATATTGCAAAAGTTGAAGTCCAGAAACAGAAATGCAAAGTTCTACGGTGGAAAAGATAACTTAAGAATGATACTATAGTACAATAATGTACCTGGAAGTCAGGGCTTGAGATGTTGGAGATTGCCTCAGATTGGCTGAAATCTCCATTTCGCTGAGGGAGAGGGTTAATAGGATGCTGATTGACATTGCTCGAGTTGCTCGACATTACAGATGATGAAATTGACGTTGGGGATTCCACACCATCTCGTGTACTGTCAGATCCCCCAGAAGAAGAGGAAGACATCTGCGTAATTGACATTGACTGATATCAATAGGAATAAAAACTAATTCCCATTCGCACATTCAAAACCATAAAATGGAGTAACTTGTAACAGTTAAAATCTACATTTGTGAGAAAAGAAGACAGGCATTTGCAAGCACATTCACATTCAATTACCACCAATTACTAGCTAGAATAGTACAACTACACAACGCAATATTATATGTTGTAACCAACCACACAATTACAAGCCGCACCAAGAACTTCAGAAGAAAACTCCAATGACAGTCCAATAGGGAGGTGCGAAAGTCCGCTTTTTTCAGTCGCCGAATCGTAATAGTGCCGGAAAGTTGCCTTTTCACATCCGAAATCTAGACGTAATTTTATTTTCGCGATCGAAATGAATCTTGAACTCGAGATTTGAGCTTGAAGTTTAATATAAGGTTCTTATGGGCATTTATGTCAAAAACAGAAAATTTGGCCTGGACCGCACAGGTTCCGCCACAGACAAAATCTAAGGCCGTATCCGTGATCTACGTAAGAAACCGAGTCAGGAGACGTTCCGCACGCCATGCTCCTCCCTCTAATTTCCGAGTAAATTTTCCAAAAATTAATGGTTTTTTAGTAAAAATGGCTAAATTTACTCACTTTAAAACTGTTATTAGATGACGGAATAAGGTATTTGTAACGTGGTCTGAATTGTTTTTTTACGTAGATCACGGATATGGCCATAGTTTTTGTCTGTGACGGAACCTTTGCGGTCCAGGCCAAATTTTCTGTTTTTGACATAAATGCCCATAAGAACCTTATGTTAAACTTCAAGCTCAAATCTCGAGTTCAAGATTCATTTCAATCGCGAAAATAAAATTACGTCTTGATTTCGGATGTGAAAAGGCAACTTTCCCGCACTATTACGATTCGGCGACTGAAAAAAGCGGACTTTCGCACCTCCCTACAGTCCAATAATACTCCTGCACAAACATCCCTACATATTAAGCCAAACTTAAGTTTCAAAGCCACAAAAAATATGCAGCAAAAAACTGTGCAAATATAAAAGTAATTTAAAATATATTCTCAATAATTTTGAAGTTACATAATAGCGGTGAATAGCAATATTTAAATTTTAAGAAAGATTCCTAAACAACTTTTCTACTTTATCAGCAAACTGCATAAGCAGTTCCAGAACATTCAATCTACTGATCCTGGGACAAAAAATCGAAATAAAAACTACACTAACCTGTCGTTGACACTGCTCAAGTTCTTCAATACTTCGGGGCATCCGATCACCATGTAGACGTATCCACCAGTCCTGTTAAAGAGGAATCAAGAATAAGTAAAACCCAGGGATAAAATTAAAAGAAACTATTCGAACTAGGAGTTGGGAAAAGTATAATTACCGGCGCATTATATGTCCAAACAATTCGATCCCCATGAGTCTGTATAAGTTCTAAGGCACTGTGGGCACTGGAGGAAGTGACACTATCAGTCCAAGTGTGAGCCTCTGGAATGTCCTCATTGTGAGATTCACCCTTAAAAGCTCTACAGCTTTGTTCAATTATGGTGGAATCAGGTTGACTCATTAAACTGTACCCCTGTTTTTGCCTGTCTCCATCACTTGATTGTAGACTTTGAGCAAAAACAGTCTGATGTTCTTCTTTTGAATTGTGATTAGTGGTAGAGTTGTTGGTTTTAGTATCCTCTTTACAGTGGTGAATATTTTCTTTGTGATCCAAGACAGGACTTTGTTCATCACCCTTTGTATTGTTTTCAAATCTATCAAATCTATTTTTAAAACATTCATTTTCACAACTCTGGTTGCTTTCTGATTTGGTATCCAGAAGGGTATTGAGAGATGAAGTAACATCTTCATCAATATCTATATCAACAGTTGAAATCGAGGAATCTTTCTGTAAACACAAATAATGAAAGAAAATTAAGATAATGCAAGAGATCAATAGAGCAGGGAAGAAATGATTACTACCTGAAGTTGATCTTCAGAACGAGAAGTGCGAACTGAATTATGATAGGTAAGTAGTTTGCCTGAACTGCATGTAGAACTGGCATGTTCCTGAAATAGCTCATGTTTGCTTGCACCAACGGGTGAGGTGCCTGCAGAATTGCAAGTTGGGGAATCTGAAAATGAATGAATTTGTCAGCCCGATGATTAAGAGTAGTTTATATGGAAAAAGATAATGGCGAGAAATATCAGAAGTTGTCTCACCCAACTTGTGGCCTTTAATACCCAGGTCACTTTCATTAGGAGAAGTTGGAACAGAATTGTGACGATGATTCTGATAATTATGGTGGTGCCGGAGCAATAAACTATCAACTTTTTTATTTTGTTTAGGTAAGACAGAAGACTGCTGTGTGCGAGACAGGTTTAATATCAAGTCCCCGGTCATCATATATGCTTCAAAACGTGGAGGACCAGATTTATCCAACTTTTCAGCAGGTCCACCTAAAGGCTCCCACACAACTGTGAGGAGTAAGATGTATAGATAGTACAGTAGTAATGAATCAGCAAAATCATACTTGTCAGTGACCAAACTAGAGATAGATATATAAAGATCATTACCTTCATTTTTGTCACTAGAGGAAACAGCATTCTTACGAGTATCTCCACCATTACGCTCTTTCAAGACAGGGCTTGTGACCGAGGAACCAGAAGTCTAGAAAATACAATGGAGCAAATCAAAACGTGGCCATACTCCATTTTCTCCTGTTACAAAAATATGACTTGAGGTCCTTACTCTAGTGGGTATTGCACTCCCATTGTTGTGCTTCAATCCATGTTTAGGGCGGGGTATTTTACTGCTTCTAAAAGATGGGGAAGATGTTGATGACGATGATGAAGATGATGTAGATGATATAAGCTCACACAGATCTTCAGCATCTTGTGCATGAGGTGATGTAATATGACATAAAACTTTTGCCTTGAGAACTGGGTCTAGAAGGGATAAATAAGTAATGAAGTTCCAAAACTCAGCACAAAAGTGAATACAATAATTTTGTTGTTTCTTTTTTAAATTATAAGCTTTCATTACACCATAAAATGGTGTGGTGTGTATGTGACCTGACTTACCCCTTTTTAATGTCAAACGAACTGGGTCTTTAGACAGCCTTACACATTTCAGAACTGAAACAGAAAAAGAGCAGAATAATGGTACATGTAACCAAGACAGCAAATGTGGCTAGCAACAATTGAAACCAACAATATATAACCTGCTGTTTTGACCACTTTATTAAAATAATCTAATATGGAAAACCATTCATGTCTGTGACTAACTGATGAGATAAAATGGCAGTGCATATCATTTAAATTGTATAGATAATGAGGAAAAAGACATTTAATTAAAAAAACCCATCTAGTACTATTTTAAAACAAATATATAACAGTGCACCTATGGGCAAAAGGTGAGTCACCTAGCCGACAATGCAATGATAAAAACATTGATTTAAGTGACTGATGTTAAATTTTGTCTAGCTAACCATGATGTCATGCTATTGCTCGCCAAGGCAAAACCCCTCACCAATCTGCTGCTGCTCTAGGCCCCCTAAGCCCCATCAGTGCTTCTGTGGGGGAAGTTCCCCAATCAAAAATTTAGTTACATGTCAAAATTTCACACCAGACTGCCCATGCAGTACATATGTGTGTCGCCCTAGACAGCCTCCACTAAAAACAATGCAGAAAGCTCTTGTGGAAAAGTGGATGGATGTAGAAAAAATGGGGCAACTTGCACATATGTATTGGTGCCAACATAGAGCATTGCAACAACAACTGGCGTGTCTCCAGGCAAAGTTCTGCAGTTTACAAAAATGGAGATATTCAGAAGTGGAACCCTTAGATCATTGTAGATGCAGATCAGAAAATCCATCTGTCTACCAAGGAGTGCTGAGAATTAAAGACAAAAATGAAACTCAAAACCAATTGTGTGTCTGCAATAACCAGCAGAGCATGACAACATACAGAGGGGAAGTAAGGGTTCATGACCAGGGTGAGGATGTTAATCCCCCCTGTAGGCCAGCACCTTGCATCGACTACAACTTCTTGGAAACTGAAAGACTACGGATTCAATGTCAAATGCAAGAGTTGAATAACAGACTAAATGAAGTTAAAAAGTGTGAAGAGCAAACACATGAGAGATTGCAAAGACTGCGTGAAGAGCTGGAATACCTCGAAACTAAAATTAAATCAAACTGGGGTCAAAACGCAGTTGACAAATGCACACCTGCTAAGGAGAACCAAACTCGATTTTTTTGATAAAACACATACCTTCTTTGGTTGTCAGTCTGCTGACATCTGCATCATTTACTCGTAATATAATGTCACCAGCTTCAACCTGCAAATAAAATAGTATCAATTACATAAAGCACTTGTAAAATTTGAGAACCAGCCAACCAAGATATTTGCTTGATATTATTTTAAACAAAAAAGGAGGCAAGATGAAAAACTGCGCAAGAGTCTTGAAGAAACATCGCAAAACAGAAAAACATAACAGAGACCGCAACAAAAATCTCAATTATTACCCGCTTTACTAAAAGTGTTCAGAATGGCCAGGAAAATGGATTAATTTTAGGCTTCCATCAACGCATCAACTCCACACTCAACATCAACTAGCTACAAGCCCTCACACTGAGGTACTGCGGTCAGAGCCATCAGAAAAACAATAGATAGTGAATGACAGTACAAATGACAGCTAGTTGACAGACAAACATGACACCCCTCCCACACACTCCCCACTCTCATTGAGCTACATTATCACAACTGCTCGTGTCTCCAAAGGAAAAAAAGGAAACAGACGGAGGTAAGTTTCCTCGCTAATGTGCGGTTTCGGTCTGTTATCCTCTAGGTCACCGCTCTCGTCTCGCCCACCCACCTGGCCACTGTCGGCCGCGGCCGAGTGCTCGACGATGTCGTATATGACGTGCGGCAGGCCTGACAGCCCCAGCAGCGAGAAGCCGAGCCCCGCGCTGTCATTCTGCTTGGAGAGGGTCACGACAAGCTCTTGCGCGGCCATGGCTAGGGGCAGGCCGTCGTGAGGGCTGTCGCCGAGGCTGTCGCGGCCGCTCGCAGGCACATTTGGGTCGGGTCGCTGTCCAACGACTGCAGGGGCAGCGTCCGCTTCGGTTTTCTTATGTTGAGGGTGATTGTGCGGTCTCCCGGAGAGGCGGCGCCACAAGATCGCGAACTCGATATAGGATTATAAGACACTTGAGAGTACTGGGGAAAAGACGGCAGTTTGCAGGAGAAGTCAAGGAAAACAACTCTGTGTTTCAGTGGGTTTCAGTTTCAGGGCAGTTTTTCCCCTCGAACAAGTGATCGAGATTCAACGGCTCTATCGAGCTCTCGCGCAATGAATGAAAAATCGCGGAGGAGCACACGGGAGCTGTATAGGAGCCACCCGAAGTGACCGAAGCGGGGGTCGGGAGTTCGGCTCGGCCCGGCGGTCTCGACTCTGTCTTCTCTGTCGACTGCGCCCGGAGGGCATTGCAGCTGTGACAGCTGTAGTCTGGAGAATTCCTTAAAATGTTTTTGAATGTTAAATATTGCTGGCCCGAGCAGAGAAGAAAGTGCTATTATCGCACATAAAGTAGTACATTTTGCAATTAAGGCGCATTACCGAACAAAAAATGCGCTGAACATGTGTCACCTAAAAACAGTATTAGTGGTGCATATGCAAAGTGCAACAAAATGTCCTGCACTTAATGTGTAAAAGCGCATAAAATGCGTAATGCCCGTAAAAAGTACATTAGGCGATTCAAGAGTATATCCAGTACCCTTTCCTTTCAGCCTATTTTCATAATTTTCACTGAACTAAATTTAACGAAAACGCAAAATTTAGTCAGCAAGGACAATACGTATTAACAATCAAGTCGTTGCCCACCACACACAATTAATATATTTAGTATGCCATTACATTTTTAAAGCGGTCTATAGATTAAGATCTCCAGAAATCCTCTGACTTTATTTGATGCGCTCCCTTATAAACCTATATTAAAGATTAAATTTAAGCGTAACTAAACTATAAATTTGAAAAACTATTTAGTTTCATCACCAAATATCAGAATATTTTCTTTACGATAACGTAGAGGCTACATCCATGAGGAGGGCGTACCTTAATTCTATAAGAAAATGAAATTTGATTCTGCTGTGATCTGCAGCAGTGGTTTCATGAAGGTGGTATGGTAATCGGGTAAGTAAACAACGAAACGCTTTGCTTTTTATCTGTCCTTGAAATTTCATAAGCGTTATTGTATACAGCTGTTTGTTTCATGTATCTCATTGCTGACTTTGTTTCAACTCTTAAAATTTAAAAGATAAAAACTTTTTGCTATTATTTTTAATTATTTGTTTTTAATTGGTTGATCTATTATGTAGTTTAGTGAGTGGTGAAAATTAACTCAAAAATGACTACTTAACTTAATGTCTGGACTTCTATGAATCACTCATTAGCTTTAGTCAAAAGACACGTTCCTATCAGTCTTTATCAATTTTTCAACAAAAGTCAGCTGACAGTTGCTATGTGCATTCTTTTCTTCCAGCCAAATTTCGGGTACTTTAAATTTCAGGACGCCCTCCGCCTACCTCCGACCTGCGCCTGGCCGGCCGAGCCGAGCGGCCGAGTCGCATCTCCCCCCTCCGCCACCCGAGCGCTTCGGGTGGCTCCTATACAGCTCCCGTGTGCTCCTCCGGAAAAATCGAAGGTCTACCTTTAGCATCAACACCAACTTTCCAGCAACAACTTCCCCACCCGGTGTCCACTTTAACATATAACACATTGCTTAGCAGTTCAATGAGGAAAGTTGTTTATGATCTGGCATTTAAGAAGGAAATAAATTTATAAGCCGCTGTGCCCTACGCTGCGAGCATTCAACGTGTTCAACGTTAATACCATAAACTGACCATCAGTGACCGTGGTAGTGACGAACCAACGGAAACGGAAGGTGGGCCGCAGTGTTAAAGAGAAAGACGCCACCGCACGCCGCCACCGGTACCAGACTCACGTCCGACGCCATTATCTCACCAAGAAAATCCAGTGGAAATTAGTGCGTTGGTCGCCTTTGTTTGCAGAGTCCTGTGGAGGTAAGTTTGTGTAATCGGCGTCTATCGGCCTGAACCGTCTCTTGTACCTGAAAACTTCGAGGGACGCGAGAACGCACTGTTAGTTATCCTCTGAGGACGCGGGAAAAGGGCTTGTTTCGCCCTGTGGGCTGGAATTTTTGTATCGTCCCCAAACTGGCCCGTCTTCTAACTTCGGTTCACAAGCTCTTCAATTTTTCACTGAACTCAACATTGCGCCCACGCACTGTTTCGTCATCTGATACGTTTGTACCCGTTTCTGTTTCGGCGTGTTTATGTGACTCTTATTTGTTTGTCTTACAAACCTGAAGGCCGGTGGCCGGTTGCTGACGCCGGAGGGCGGCTGCCGCTTGGTCTCCCAACGCTCCCTCGAGTTTTGGTGTATGACGTCTGTTATTTTTAAATTTCTTTTCGATACTGTGCTGTGCCGTTACATCGCTCCACTCTTTATTCCTCGACATGTCTGAAGGCTAATCTGAAAGGTTGACTGCGAAATGTTCATGGGATTCGGCGTACTCCATTTCGACCCTGGGGTTTTTTGCTTCCTTTCTTTTTGTATTCCTATTTGGCATTGCCACTCTCCCCTAACTCGCAATTTTCTTTCCTTTCTTCATCGTCAGTTGATGTAATGCAACATGTTTTTTTCCCAACTTTATCCAGGTTGTTCGCCCCCTAACCTTATTTTAAAATGGCTGATAACGATGATCTTCTCGACTACGAAGATGAGGAGCAGCCAGAACAGGCCGTCGTTGACGGATCCGGTGACACTGGAGCGAAGAAGGAAGTGAAGGGTACTTACGTATCCATCCACAGTTCTGGCTTCAGAGATTTCTTGCTCAAACCTGAGATTCTCCGAGCAATTGTTGATTGTGGTTTTGAGCATCCATCGGAAGGTATGTAAGTGTTCTTGATGTGCCCTACTTTGTTTTCATCAATATTAAGACACTTTTGCGCTCTCTTTGTGTTTTAGTTCAGCATGAATGCATTCCTCAGGCCGTCCTTGGTATGGATATATTGTGCCAGGCTAAATCTGGTATGGGAAAGACAGCAGTCTTTGTGTTGGCTACTCTCCAACAATTGGAACCGACAGAGAACCAAGTCTATGTTCTTGTTATGTGCCACACCCGAGAATTGGCTTTTCAAATCAGCAAAGAATATGAAAGATTCTCAAAATACATGTCTCAAGTAAAGGTATGAGTACTTGAACTGAACTTCTTTCCTTTTGTTTCAACTGTGCTGTGACGATCTTGCGTAGAATGTGGATTAACATGAACGTGTGTTTCAGGTGAGCGTGTTCTTTGGTGGCTTGCCGATCCAGAAAGATGAGGAGGTCTTAAAGAACAACTGTCCCCACATTGTTGTGGGCACCCCTGGCCGTATTCTGGCGCTTGTGCGTTCTAAGAAGCTTAATCTCAAACACTTAAAGCACTTCATCCTTGATGAGTGTGACAAGATGCTGGAGCTACTTGGTCAGTTTATTTCTTGAAGTTGGATTAGCTGTTTGTTCACCTAGTTTTGTGTCTTATTTTGAGTATCTTTTCAGACATGAGGAAAGACGTCCAGGAGATCTTCCGCAGCACACCTCACAGCAAGCAAGTGATGATGTTCAGCGCCACTCTCAGCAAGGACATTCGCCCAGTCTGCAAGAAGTTCATGCAAGACGTAATCATCCTTCCATACAATTTTAACCGCCGGGGATGTGGGGCATAATTTAGTTAATCCATAGACCTCCTAATAGGCCACATTAGTACACCACTATCGTTACCCTCACTTTCACACATCTGACCACTACATGTCCTCCACCATTCAAGTTAGCAACTTGGGAACCATAATGAGCGTTAACAAACCCGTAAAGAAAAGTTAGGTCAAATTTTGGGTTGGGTGGGGCCAAGAAGACTCAAGACATCTTTACGAAGAAAGAAGATTTCAAGAGAGAAGGCTCAAGACTGGTTGGGGGGGTGTGGGCGCTACAAATATTATCTTAGGACTTCCCTCAAAACACTCCATTGCTAGTTAGTACCCTGTGGATGCTGAAATGGCTGTCGTGTGAGCGACCAGAGGCGTGACATCTGATCCATGAGCGTCTACGCAGCCCACGCAACTTCAGCATTTGGTATTCATTGATGGTGGTTGGTCAGGTAACCATGAGGAATTTGAAAGTTCACATCTGAAGTCAGCAGCTCATCTTAGAAATGCTGACCATCTGTTTGGTAAAGTGAACACCATCCTTTTTTTTTTCCTTTTTTTTTCTCACCCCAGTCCCATTAGTCTGCCCATGGATTTAATTTAGGATCTCAAAATTCTCAGATTTGGACTTCCTTGCAAGTCATTTGCACACAACCCTAAGCCTAAATTCATGTGCTCACATCTAGTTTCATTTGATGGAAATTTTGTTTTCAAATTTTGATGGATGTGATTCTTTTTCACTAAGTACATCATATTATTGAATTTGATGTACAGTTGAATTTGTCCTGATTTTATTTTTGTTTTTTACAGCCTATGGAAGTTTATGTTGATGATGAAACAAAGTTGACCCTCCACGGACTCCAGCAGCATTATGTGAAGCTGAACGAGAATGAGAAGAACAAGAAGCTTTTCGAGCTTTTGGACATTCTAGAGTTCAACCAGGTACTAATTTTTGGTCTTCGGTTTTGTTGGTAGACTCCAGTGGAGCACAGCATTTAATTAAATTATTTTTCAGGTTGTCATCTTTGTCAAATCAGTCCAAAGGTGTATGGCTTTAGCTCAGCTATTGACAGAACAAAATTTCCCAGCAATTGCTATCCACAGAATGACAACTCAAGAGGAGAGATTGTCACGTTACCAGCAGTTCAAAGATTTTCAAAAGGTGATATTTTTATCTTACAACTAATCAATCTGTGTGTTTTTCTGTTTACTAATTGTGCTTCTGTTTTGCAGCGTATTTTGGTTGCCACCAACCTCTTTGGAAGAGGCATGGATATTGAGCGAGTGAATATTGTGTTCAACTATGACATGCCTGAAGACTCTGATACCTATTTACACAGAGTGGCGCGCGCTGGTAGATTTGGTACCAAGGTACAAATGCTTCTACATACTTGCATTCTGCTTACTTATATAGCAGATCCTTAACAGCTTCATTGATTTTCAGGGGTTGGCCATTACTTTTGTTAGTGATGAAAATGATGCCAAGATTTTGAATGAAGTTCAAGACCGTTTTGATGTCAACATTACTGAACTACCTGATGAGATTGACCTGTCATCTTACAGTGAGTGTACACCTACTTAGCATCTCCTTATTTTCCTGTCTGAAATCATTTCTAAATTAGTGATCTTTTTTTTCCAGTTGAAGGACGGTAATCATGTAACTTTCCTATTTCACCAATTTAAAAAAACACATGTGATATGGTACAAATGGTATGTATAAATTATGCTCAGTATCATCTTGATTTCAAACTTTGTTTCATCTGCTAACTATTTGTTAATTTCCTTTTCAGATGGTGTAGCTTGACGTTGTAGCTTGCTGGTACTAGGAGTGTATTAAAGTGCTCTAATACTTCCTAGTAGATATGTATCATTTTAACAGCACGTCACCCTTATCATTTTTTTTTTCATTCTTCATTTCATCAATTGTCATTAGTGACTTAAGGTTTCTTTAATCAGATTGTGAAGCATTTTTCCCCTTGACGTGTAACTAGATAACTTGAGTCAATGAGTTGCTAATAAATGTAAATTTCTTAACAAACCTGATTTTTATTTATTTTCAGTACCACCTCAATGTACCTCCATACACTACTTTACCAGCATTAAATCTTAGAATTGTAAGGACTTACACTACATATAACTGCAGATAAACAACATCTAAGTGAGCTCAGAACTGCTTTATTACAATGGACTGATCTTTTTCCTGTAATACAAATATTTATTAATGGCTTCCAACCAGTCTTTATGAAAAAGAAATAACTTAAACTAGGAGACAACTCAAATGTGACAGTTCAGCAAATAAGAGTGGAACACGCAACTCAAATGCCAAAAAAAAAAAGGAGGCGGTACATAAGTTATATTTACTACTCGACAACTCAGACTTGTTGGGATTAATACAGGTCTCCAACAGTTGAAGTATCAACAAGTTATAAAATTCAGCCAAGGTACAACATAATTTCAGGACAACAGTCGGTCAATAAACCAATTAGATAAGTTTCACTCAACTTTTAGAAGTTCTATCACATATCAGGTGAAAAGAGTGCTTTGAAAACTGACTTATAGCACCACATCGATCCTGAATTACATTTTCCACCCTTCTCAATTTTTAAGTGACTTAAGATGTAAAATTGTTTAAGGTGCTGGATTAAACATCAATGCTCAAAAACTGAGGAAATATACACAAAATTGATGAGATGATACAAGCAAGCGCTCTAGCTGCATTGCTTATACTCACATTAGCTCCCTGTGTTCTGTTCAATAGCAACAATAGTCCTAGTTAATGCAACAGAAGCTATAGCATGTTGAAAAATGTTAAATGCTCATCCGAATTTGAAGAACAGCAACTGGTTCTATTTTCTGTCAGACATTTGTCCTACACGTAGTGGCTAGACACATCCCAATACTCAGTATTCTCTCTTGGTGTACACTAGGAATATAAATCAAAAACACACAGCATACCACAGCTCACACAAAAAGTTTAACATGAACATTCTTTTATTTTTTTAAAAATAAAAAGAACAAAAGAGCCCGCAACACTACACAAAATACATTTGAAGTGGTTCAGACCATATGATACAAGCACAAAACGTATTTTCCTATCTACAGGTGTAATGAAATGAACCACTTCAATTCTCGTGTGTTTGCATTCCTCTCAAAAGATACCATGCACATGGCAAGCAGTTGTCTGACATTGAGTTTTGGTAACTGAAATGTTCAATGAATGGATAAGAGATTATGCAAGTAGAAACTGCTTAACATACACTAATCGGTAAATCAAACACTATGTTTTTGGAAAATTGAAAGTATCTCAACCACATAATTTCATATACATTTCACATTTAACTGTAAATTAACTACTTAAAATTTAATTACAAAAGCATTACAATCAATATTTAAGACAAAAACCAAGGTGTTTCACATTCTCAAAAAATCAAGTATAAATAATGCACCTGTAACTCTTAGACTTGGTGTAGCAAAATTTGAAATATGCATTTAACTAAATGTATTAGATGAGGGTCAGCTGCTGGGAACCTATAAACTAAATTCATCAAAGTAGTATGGACATGACAGAAAGTACATTATCTAGCTAGATGAATACAAGTGACGACCTACAGAGTAGGGGTTTAAAAACACAGTAAAAATGAATGAGTAATAATAATTTTGTGTCAACAATATCAGATTCTTCTTTCTGCTCTTCATTCTCAAAGTAGAACAAGGCCTTTAAAAGGCAAAGGTTTGTATTAGCTCTTCCCAATGATGATGGAAAAGGAAAATAAATTGCCAAGAGCTAGCAAAAAGTGTCTTACTATTTCATCCCTTTTAAACTTCATGGCAGGTCAAATCTAGAGAAGAAAGATTAGGTCAGTAGTTAGCAATACACGAACAATTTTTTACCATCAAAATGTACACAAGACACAAATTTCAATTTCAAGAAGCTCACATTGTCAACAGGGTCTCCTTCACCTTCACTGCTAATTTCATCGCCAAATTCAATATCTTCATCCAAACCATCTTCGACGAATGTAACGGTGTCATTAATGCGAACTGCAAGGAAAATTACAGAAATTAAAACAAATACTCAACAAAAGAACAAAACATGTAAAAAGAATTGAACTGAATCTATTGTCAAATTACCTGTTTCGGGGAATTCACCATAAGTCTTCAAATTCCTTGCTTCATCTGGGGTGTACTTCAAAATAACATCAGCTTTGGCATCTTGATAGTCACGCAAACCAATCAGAATGATATCACCTTGGTTGATCCAAACCTAAAGGAGAAAGTTTTATCCATTAAATCTTTTGCAGTAATCTATAGAATAATTAGAACTGAGCTTCAGTTATTCATTACCTTCTTTCGGAGTTTGCCTCGGATATGACACAGACGCTTCACACCATCAAAGCACATGGCTTCTAAACGACCATTCCCCAGCATTTTAGTGACTTGTGCGTACTCTGAAAAGTATTAAAACAAGGAATGAAAAATGAAACACCAGTTAGCAACCAAAATAAAAATAAACAGGATAAAAAAGAAAATCTGGTACCTTGACCATCTTCTTTGAATACCAACTCTCTTTTCTCAGTTTCATTTTCGTTCTTTCCCCTCCTCCTGTTTTTACCTCCCTTTCCTGAAACACATTTTTTAAAAATTATTTTAAGAGGTCAATTGCTTTTGACATGTACAATCTTCAAGGCCAAATATAAAGTAAACAATAAAATATTAGCATGACATTAGCGGGAATTGCCAAAATTAAGAATGATAAAACACAAAAGGTTTTTCTGAGCAAAATTTTAAGAATAAGTTTCCAGGACAAGTGTGTCAAAAAAAAAAAATAATCTGAACTCAATTGCAACATATTGCTCAAAACTCGGGTGTACGAACCACGGTTGGAGCCCTTACAATGGGACTGTAATTTCAATGAGGATAGGTGAAAAATAAACTAGTTCCATAATGTGTGCGCGAAAAAGATAATCAATGGCATAGATTGGAATTTGTTTCACATACACGTGAAATTCTAACCTTACACTTGTATGGACCTGCGGACTCACTGACGCCCGAACGACAGACGGCAGTCACGATTGTACAAGAGAAAAGAATGCTAAAAATCTCAAGTTCGGAGGAAATCTTACCCTTATTCTTCGGCATGTTAAATCAAGTCTTGAGAATGATACCAAGTCTATATTTAGCTGTTAATTTGGCCAAAACTAACCAAAATTACAGCCTTTTTTGGGCTGCCAATAAGTGCACGCACGCACACGCACAACAGAGAGCACACACACGCACACACATACACACAAGAAGTGACGAACGAATCAGGGATTCATCAGTAAAATGCCAAAATCATAGAAGTTGTAACAGTATCTCAGACTGTTTTGGTTGTTTGCGTAGTGGTTTGATTCGATAGAGCTTTATCAGATTGTTTGTACAACACAGTAAGCTCCCATAGAATACATTCAACGGAAAATAATTGATGCCATTCCAACCAATTTCCAAATCCAGGTTGGCGAATGTGAGTGTCCATCGGTCAGATTTTTAAGGCTCAGTTTTGCGTTCCATTAAGTTAGATCATTTAATATTAATATAAATGTGCGCAAGTTAATAGCGTTCTTCCTGTTCTAATAGGTCGTTCCACTTCTTTGAAATGAAAGTCTTGTAATTTCGCGTAAGTCATTGTTGAATGTTTTTTTTCCCTCCTTTATGAGTCTGTTCCATAAATCTTTGCCAAGTTTCATGATCCACCATTTTGTTCTCAACCGCTCGGGGGTGAGTTGGGTAATTTCCCAAGATTCCTTTAGCGAATATTTATTTTCTAGGTAGAGAGATGCACCTGATGCTTTCCGCTTGGTCAATTACCCGACCTATAATGTCGTCCGCTGTTTCGAACAGAACTTTGATGTCACCTTATCATTAGTACTTTAAACGCCTTATTCAAGAATAAGTGCATTTTGGATGCTGTCCCATCGCCTGGAAAGAGCTCCTCTGGTCCTTGTTTTCTTAAGGTTTAACATGGGAACTTATCGAGCGAGCATTACCTTAACCAAAGAGCAGACAGTTTGAGGTAATGCTTGTAAACAATAATGTCAGCACCTGTGTCAATTTCGAATTAAACTGTGAATAAAATTATTCTCTTGCTTTAATTAACCTCACGAATAACCATATCCTTAATTGTCAATTGAACAGCCTTTGACAGCTATGTGTTGTTTAAAAATTCACTGGCATTTCTTTATTTTAAAAGGAGGGAAGTTTTATCTTCCCCAGAGAGAACTTCAAAAATAATCATTCTTATGGGACTTTGGAATATTCATTAATGTTTATTCTCATTTATCAATCGTTGAGGGATTTATTTTCTGTTTTCAGAAATGGACAATTTAGAAGAGACATCACTCATATCAGAAGGTGACAATGCTGCCTGCTTTGTTGTTGGAGGTATGGCAGAATTAATCCCCTAAATCCTAAATCTGTTTTCACCTTTTTTCTTGTTTTATTTCGTATCAGAGTCGTTACAAAAACAGATGTGATGAAATTGTCCCTTTCTTTCTATTTAGATGGTCTGGGAGCTTTGGATGGCAATGCATTGTTCTTGCAGTCAGGTCAGTCAGTCCAGCTTGAAGATGGATCAACAGCCTTCATATCTGAAGACGGTATGCTTAAATTATATTATTTTAATAATTTCTTAATCTTCAACAGTTCTTATTATTTTTCTTCCATTACAGGCAGTCTTCAGCAGATTGAATTAGAGAATGGAGCCGCTACTTTTGTAACTCTTAATACCGAAATAGACTCAGAGACTCCTAGCTCGTATGTTCAAAACCATTTTAATACATTGAAGTTTGCTCCCTTTTCAGCTTTGTTGCTCAAATGGTTTTATTGCTTTGCAGGTTTTTAAAAGTAGAGTGTGACTCTGATTTAAAAGAGGATACCTCATTCAAAAAAAGATTATTGACTGATAGGAAACCTGACATCTCAATCTCAGACAGTGCAGATCTTGGGTATACTCTGGACCTGGAAGATGATCAGGGAACTACATTTTCCATTCTTCACTTTGAAGAGTCAAATGATGCCCAGGACCCAGGTAAAGGGATCTACTATTTATTTATTATTATTATTTTTTTTCAATCTTTGGAGGGCGTAGGTATATAAACTAGTTTCAAATCATTTTTAGGATCAGTGAAGCGATCACTTTTGGATGAGGATGACTTATCTCGTAGTAGTTTGGGAGACTGTGCGCCAATCAGAAGTGTGTTAATAGATCCTGATGAACCAATTGTTGTTGGTGATGATATGAATGATGAAAACTGTCATGATAATGAAAATGAATTTTTCAATAATCATGAAGATGATGATGACGGTGATAATATGATTGAGGACCCAGATGAAGATGATTTTCCAAATTTAAGATTAAAGGTCATAAATCCTTCACGTCGAAAACATGTCAGAACTGGAAGAACAAAAATATACTCTTGCTCTGTCCCTGGCTGCTCCAAAACGTATACTGCATTACATCATTTGAAGGTGAGATTATCCCAGCTACTTCCTTTCAAACTTCAGTCTCTGACACATGGTAATTTTTGAACAAATTCAAACCTACAGGTGCATGCAAGGACTCATACAGGTGACCGACCATTTCTTTGTACGGAGCCCTCATGTGACAAAAGATTTGGGACAAATTATGCCTTGAAGGCTCACATCCGAACACATACTGGTGAAAAACCATATATCTGTCCAGAAGAGAGCTGTAGCAAAGGTTTCAAGACATCGGGAGATTTACAAAAGCACATCAGAACTCATACTGGTGGGTTTTGTACAAATGTCATTTTGTAAAGCTTGACAATTTATACTACCTTCTGAGATGATAACTGTGGTTTTTGATTGTTTCAGGAGAGCGTCCTTTCAAATGCAATGTTCCTGGCTGTGATAGGTCTTTTACCACATCAAATATTCGTAAAGTACATGTTCGCACACACACAGGTGAGCGACCATATGAGTGTACTGAGCCAGGTTGTGGTAGAGCATTTGCTTCAGCCACTAATTTTAAAAACCACATGCGTATCCATTCTGGAGAAAAGCCATATGTCTGCACAGTAAAGGTTAGCTTGAGTATTATATTTTAGTTAATCTATATTGAAACTAAATGCAATATATTCAAAGCAGAAATCCTGAAGTTGTGTGTTTTTATTTTCTAAATTTATTGAACAAAAGTAGAACTAATAGTATTGCTTTCCTTGATTGTCGCAGTTATGTGGACGAAGATTTACAGAGTATTCATCATTGTACAAGCATCAAACTGTTCATACACAACAAAAGCCATATGAATGTAAGGATTGTGGACGTAATTATCGCCAGTCATCAACCCTCACCATGCATCGTCGAACCGCACATGGTATAATTCAAACAACAGATGGTACAGAAATAATGTTGCAGTTTCCTCCTATAGCACCAGACAAAATTGAAAGCTACATGGTAAGTGTATAATACTTTCTATAAATACATGATGTTGTTATCTACTGTGATCTTTGATATTCTGTGAACTTGTCATCCATCATCTTAATTACTTCTCCTTAGTTGCCTAGGACTTTCTTTGTTCATGAAGTTGTTTTTCTATTTTAGTTTTTGGAATTATCTGAAGAAAACAGCACCCTTGTCCAGTTCAATTCAAATCAAATACTCGAATCAATTGAATCGTCAACTCCATCACCTGCCTTACCTGTCAGAGCTGAAGATGACAGTGAAGATGAAGACGCAGTGATTAGACCCAGCATATCAATCGATGACGACGACAGTAGTCTAAAGCAAATATTTGTTGTGACGGATGACGCGGACATCACTGCATATGATGAGGTATGTAACATTTTGTGTTTTTTATGGTTTCTGGAAATTTGAATGTTCAATCTGAAGTTTATTTTTGATTACCATATAATTTTTTCCAGAGTTTTGACCCATTGGACAGTACAGTTGTTTAAGTGAACTTGTCATTAGTTAGCCAGTTACAGGTGAAATTTCATGCTCCTCTATGGCTAAGAAATGAACTTAACTTATAGATACAGTATTTAAAATTTGAAGATTCCACCTCTTTATTACTTTTTGTGTTGTACATCTCAGTAGTTTTTTTGGATCTATTACTCCTCTCTGATTAAATCTGAGCTCAGGCTTTCTATTTATTGTTACTAACATTTGGAACTGTAGGAAAACCAATTTAAAACTAGAGGTTATTTTTTCTGTATGCTGTCCAAACCTATTTTTGGGTAACCTCTTGATTATTGGTTCATTTGAAAAATTTCTGAACAGTTAAACAATTCCTAATAAAAATTTGAGAATTCCAATTTGAATATGTCTGTAGCCATGTTTTTTGAAAGCAAGACAGATAAAATTTATGAAATAGAATCTTGAACACAACCAGGAAGTCATTATTTAATATAGCCATAGATTTTATGTTCCCTGTCAGGGAACTTAGACACCCTGTGAAAACCGGATCAAGTCCTGTTACTATTCGAAGCTAGATACAATTGTGATAGAGGACCTTGAAGGTTGTATTGTTTTTATTTTACTTTATTGATAAAGTATTGTGTTTATAAAGTGTGCAATATGTGATCTCATGTAATGGAGAGTTAAGGAGCTTGAGACTTCTGAACAAATGTGATATTTCCTTATTTACAGTGTTTGCTCATACTGATCGAAACTTTTTGTAAACTAATCTTTCTAATATGTATGACGTAAGGCGTTACAAATTGTCAGGGGTTTGTGTATCAAAGCATGCTATTATATTCCTGTTTGTGTGTGTTTTAGGAGATGAGGTGTACTACCAAAGATGATGTTTGAAATGTGTAGAAAAGAAACATGTGACGTTTGTTTGTTATTTCGCTTAGTTAGTGTGTTCTTGTTTTTTAAAAAAAATCTTTTTTGTTGCTACATTTATGTTTCCTTTGCTGGAGCTCAAAGCTACATTTAGTACCATTGTTTTGTAACATTTGTGTCAGCTGCTTGCAGTAATACCTGAAAAGTACTTGGTGCCGATTTTGTTGTGTGTAAACCTCCTGCCTAAAATGAATTGCAAAATTAATAATTAAAAAAATGTGTTGAATGGTGTACATGCAGCTTTCCTCCTGTGGTTCCTTTAACCGCCACCTCCGCTGTCCTACCCTGCGGTGGGTGACAACAACGCATCTGCTGGAGCGCGGATAACGCTTTGACAAGGGCCTCCCCGCCCCATGGTGGTGGCGGGCGGTTATCCCTTATCGCCGAGTCACGACGACGGCTCCCCGTCAGCCGCCAAGTGGAGCGCGTCTAGCCGGCCCGCGTGCCGTCGGGGGGGGTTGCCTACCTCCGCGGCCACGGCGGGGTCGTGGAGCATTGTTCTTTGTGAGTCGGGGCGTTTTTCTATTATTTTTTTGTCATTGTTGCACATATTTATTATTTCTCAAGTGACCCTCGTGGAGCAGCGGAGCGAGTTCAGAGATCGGCTGTCAGCTATGACAGCATCCCGCTGACATGGGCTAATGAGGTACAGCTGCCCCCCTCCCC